TTTTACATTTAAAATACATGTTTATTAAATAAAGTCTAATGTTACAACTAATCAGGGATCCCTTTAAATTTGTTGTAAATGTCCTCCTGTGGCCACATCTAGGATGGTTGACTACAAACCTCTAAATAATCTGTGCAGCTGTAAACACAGAAACATCAAGCTGTTTAAAGATGGTGTTATTGCCTTTACCGTCAACATGATGCCAGTAATTTGCTTTTTAAGCTTTAGCCTTGAAAGAAAAATAAGACTTGATTCTAAAGAAGAAACCAAGTTTTAGCCAAGGTTTGAGTACATCACAGTATTTTCAACAGCCAAATGCAAACAGTTTCATCTTGTTTCAAGGGGAGATGCCTGTTTCTTTCCATCTGATCATTATAAACTATTTGAGCTCTGTAAAAGAAGAAACACCTCCTACTGTGTTTATTTAAAACWAATACATATCCAGTTACTGAGCTGTGAGTGATTCTGGAATCCCCTCTTCTTGTTGCTCACAGATTGACGCTCTTGCAGAGATAGTGGACACAGTACAGGGGAGGATAGAGGTCTATTTAGACGGAGGGATCAGGACAGGAAGTGATGTACTGAAAGCCCTGGCCTTGGGAGCCAGGTGTGTGTTCATTGGCCGTCCAGCCGTGTGGGGCCTCGCATACAAGGTAAAACACAAGTGTTAAATCAGTGTGTGTTTTTTATTTAAATACATTACTGACAGCCATGTCTGGATCAGGGCAGTTTTATCTGGTGTTTAGCCTTAAACACAGACGTAAACACTGCATGAGGCCAAGTCCTTGACAGCCTGATAAGCCTTAATGTTTGGTTAACATGATAAATGATTTTTTTTTTTTTTTTACTGTAAAGCTACTAAAGTCAAGATTTGAAAGATTCCTGTGTAAGACGAAAATAAAAAACTCTGATCTGAGCTGATATCAGAGCTAAATTGTTGGAGTAAATTTGCCTTGTGTGACGTCTCAGGGGGAGGAGGGACTCAAGGAGGTGCTCCAAATTCTCAACGATGAGTTCCGTCTGTCGATGGCTTTATCAGGTGAGTCCGATCTGAGGTTATTCAATAAAACAAAGCCATCAGTGTGTGAATGTGAGTGTGAATGGGTGAATGTCTGTTAGTGTAAAGCGCTTTGGGGTCTGGAGGGACTTGAAAACGCTCTATAAGTTCAGTACCATTTACCATTTTAACCAAATACAGGTCTAGTATTCTTTGACAGAATACACCACATACCAACCTTTAGACCTGAGTTCTAAACTAAGAAAAAAAATATGTTTTCTCATGCAAGGTTTAGCAATCAATATCAGCTCTCAGAGGTGGGCAGTAATGAAGTCAACTTGAGTACTGAGTACTTTATTTAAGTTGAGTTAAGTTACTTGAGTAGCATTTTTTTGGGAAAACTTTTTACTTATAATGCACTGATACTTTTTACTCAACTGCATTTATCTAAAGGCTTTAGTTACTAGTTTGCGTCTATTTTGTTTCAACGACACACTGTAAAATTGCACACTACACCCCGTTACAGTAGGTGGTGATGTGCGGGTTTAAACCGGTTGCAAAGAGAATAAAAATGGGGTTTTTTTTCCAATTAGTGTTGACCTACAGGTACACTAGGTATAGACAGTGCTGGCTGTAGCCATTTTGGTGCCCTGGGCAAGTAGAAGCGCAACCACCACCCCCACCCCAATTTGAACCCCTAAAAACAAGTTTGATAGTGTAAGGTACTATGGTAAACTTAGATTTATTTGCTCCCCGCCCCCAGGTGCGAGTTGTATGGATTTTTTTTGCAAAATTTACAGATTTTTGAGGCATTTTATCCAGGTAAACGTCCGAAGAGGTTGTGGGACAGCAAAATACAGACTTGTTATTGTGTTTGTCAACATGAACCGCTACCTGAGAGGCACTACAAGCCCCTCCCCCATCAGAGTGTCGGAGCAGGACGAGTCAGTGCAACGTCAAATCAAACGAGAGATAGGGTGGGGGCGTTTGCTGCATGGGGGGGATGTTTTATGGGTAGAGTTGTTTATTTTTCCTGTAATACTTCATCATTGTTTTTTTTAAGACAAAGCTAGTTGAAAGGGGCGCTGAGCAGAGTTACAACCAGGGATTACAAATAATTACTTTTTTGTTCTGCAGTTCGGCACCCCCTCCAGCAGATGGCGCTCTAGGCGACCGCCTAGTTCGCCTATGCCAAGAGCATACAGTAGATACAGTAGATACAGTATATTAGACATTTTTCAGCACTACTACAGGTCTTTGTTTAAATCCCGATTAGTCCTCCTGAATTTAACATGAACTCATCTCATTATTATGCCTCCACCCACTGGGACCAGAGGCATACTGTTCTCTGGCTGTCTGTGTGTTTGTGTGGTGTCCGTCCCTCACGGGTGGTCTTGTGTACACCATATCTCCTGAATTAAATTATGTATTTACTTATAAATAGACATGGGAACTCCATTAGGGTAGTACTCAGTCTGATTAGAATTGGGCATCAAAGGGTCAAATTCATTTATGATGACACTGGCATTTTTTTCTAATTCATCAACAGTACAAATAAAATACTTGGTTAAATAAAAGGAAACAAGTTATTATYATTTTGTTTGATATAACCCAAGACTGACTTTCATTAACATGCTAAATTAATTAGTTGTGCTTCAAAGGCAGAMACTTTTACGGTGGGCGGAGGCATACCAATCGACGCTTTGGCGTTGAGTTCCACCTTGCTTAAGACCTAAATTAGAGCGTTTCAGACTTTCAGTCCCTTTTTTTCTATCAATTTGTATAAATTTCTTTGTAAAATAAATATTTTCAATTCAACAAACTAGTACAAATATTACAAATAATAAATTTCTAGCTCAAATTAGGTTCAGAGCTCCTTAATTAGTCATTGATACTCGACTTGATTAAAAAACTTTTCCAAGACTTGTCCTTGAAGTGGTGACTATGTAAAGACTAAAAATGCTGACAGTTCTTGTGAAAAGGGTATAAATTCAGTGGTGCAGTGGGTAGGTGTTGACTCTACAACAGGAGTGTTGCTGGTTCAAATCCCTGCCTAAGTGTGTAATATTTTGTTCATGGGCATTTTACCTAACCTGTTGGTGTGATTGTGGTGGTCTGGAGGGGCTGTAGGTGCAGAATGGTAGCCACATTTCCACCACTGAGTGTGAAACTGACTGTATAAAAACTGTAAAGTGTCTTTGCGCATCTGGAAAAGTGCTATGTAAAACTAATGCATTATTATTTTATTTTTAGAGTTACTGATCTGTCAAATACAGAAGAAAATTTTCCAAATTATCCTTGACTATACTTTGGGAAAATTCATTGTTAAAAAAACTTCAAGTACTTTCAGTACTTAAGTATTTTTAAAAGTGTATGCTCCAGTAAAGAACTACTTTTACTTTAATTGGAGTAATTTGACCTGAAGGATCAGTACTTTGACTCAAGTAAGAAAATTGAKTACTTTGTCCACCTCTGTCAGCTCTRAACATAGACGACTCTCAGACACATCAACGTTTTTTGCTCAATATGTTTACATTAAATTAAATTTTAGCCATTTTAGTGTTACTGTAGTAAGTAGCTGTGTTGGCCAACTGGGTTGACTACTATCAATTGTAGACGTACAGTTGATGCAAAAAATATAAGCAAAGATACTGTTAAGTGTGTCATGCTCAGATTATGTGTTGTGAATGGCTCTCAATTAATACCACACCAAACTTTAGCTCATCTGTTAAACCGACTGAGTTATGGCCAGGGGCAGAGCCACACGGTGGCCAGGGGTGGCCATGGCCACCACAGACAAATCTTTGTCCACTCCTTTGGCCCACCCTGCTGTACACACCCCTTCCACAGTGAAACAACCTTTTTGGGGTGTAATAATCCTCCTGAACAGTTGGTGGCAGTGTTTAACAGTTTGAAACATCTCCAAGCTCAATCACTGAAGAAGAGTAATGACAAGGAAGTGATGGTTTTCTTTATATACAGAACATATGCCAATGTAATCTGACTTATGGTGTTAACTTCTGGATTTATGGTGACAAAGGTTTCTGTTCTTATTTTTTATTTTATTTTTTATTATTTTTTGTCACATAACACTGTGTCATTTTATGTTATGAAGGCTGCATGATGATCTGTGTTTGGTTTTGAGTAGACCTATCACTAAATTAGAAAAAGTGAAACACCCCTCTAAATTCACTGTTGGTGGTTATCAGTATTGCTCCTGTTCATTGGGTAAAATTATTAATATTAGTTTTAAACATGCAGCTGAGGGTCATCATTGTTTGGCACAATGACATGTTACAACTAAAAATACATCAATAAACAATATAAAAGTAAATCCCCTATGGTCATTGGATACGATAAATTGTGCAATAACCTTATCTCAGTCATAGCAGTGAGTTTAAATACAGAATGATCAATGAATAAACTGTCCCTGAAATAAATATTAAATCAAGTGTTAATTTGTTTAGGTAAACGTATGTTTAACAACCTGGTAAAATACACAAGAATGCAGGAAATGGCTTCTATTTCATTCAATATTTTCTGGGGGAGAACTCCAAGGCACCCCCCCCCCCCACCCACACACACACACACACACCCAACCTTTAAAATGGTTCTGCACCCATGTTTATAGGGTAGTCACTGCCTGTATAAGGACATAAGGAAATTACTAAAACACAAAGATCTGCAGAAACTTTAAAGTAAAAAATGATGTAATTTTCCTGGCCACCCCTGTGTGAGTAGTGGTCCCCATCTGGCCACCCCTGAGAAAAATGTCTGGCTCCACCACTGGTTATGGCCTTTTGTGTTGGGTGATAATAAACCAACAGTATACTAAAATGCTTAATTTCTTTCATTCATTGCTTTTTTATATTTTCATCTTCCCTTTGTAGGTTGTAGGAACGTAGCTGAAATCAACAGGAATCTCATTCAGTTTTCCAAACTCTGATGTTCCAGCATGGTGCCAGATTCATCGGACTCTGAACTCAAACTGTAGTACCTGGGATCATATTAGGACATTAAAATCAAGAAACATTTACCATCCCAGTCAGTACAAGTACACAACTGTGTACTTTGAATAAGAACTTGTGCCGAACATCCTAAATGCTGATTGTATGAGTGACAGAATGCGGAGGAAGAGCTGAGTGTCAGTGAAAGACTGAGCAAGTGATTCWAGAAAGTGTTTTTGCTGTGGAAGTGAAAAGGATGGAGGCTTTTGTAATAAAACTATCAAATCATCTATGGTTACTCTGTAAAAGTTCAACTGCTGTCAGCGATTGTGCTTGAATAAACGCCTGCTGAGGTGAAGAAAGATTTGTTGCCATCTTCTGAAATTTTTACAGTTAGTTTTTTTTATTTTGTTTTCAAGTTTTAAGTAAAATTGTAGTCGTTGTGATTTTATTCAGTAGATCGGATCAGAAATAGTTTCATTCTGCTTGAACTGACTCTCTGCTATCAGAATGTGGCCAAGGCCAAAGCTGGTTGCTGCTGCCGCTATTTTAACTTGCAAAAAACCATAAAGTCCTGTAATACATGATATAAAACCATTTATTATAAAGCTGACAGCAATGCATATGTTGTTTGCATGAACACTTAAAATTTTTTTAGCCTCACWCTGACTAGCTGTTAGCCCTTTAGCTCACCATTTTACTTCTGCATCCTGTGGGGCACTTAAATACAGTATTATTTCCACTGGAATAACTAATTGCTGGGCTGCAGTCACATGACCCAGATGACGCGTGAATGTCAGAAARGGGGCAGGAAGTGATTTGCTCTGGTTCAAAACACAGCAAAATGGATCTCAGTGAGTACGCTAGTGCCCTGAATGGGCTGGCACAGACAAGATATCACAAAAAAAAAATGCATACATTTAGGATAGGATTTATTAAGAGGGGCAGTATCATGTAAAATCAACTTTTGTGAGTTTTATATCATGTTATAATGTTATACTCTCATAAAAAACATGCCTAAAGCCTTGCTCTGACTCATTCATGCATGTGTGAGAAATCCTGCAGCGTTTTTAGGAAGCCATGCTGAGGAGCAAAACGACA